TCTCATTATCAAACTTCTAAAAGAAGTTATATTGATCTCCTGACTCTTCTTCCTGTAGCAACATTTTTAGAATCATTTATTTATTTAAAGCCTTTGTAGAAATATTTCCTGTAGACTTAGTTTTAAGTCTTTCTCTGGAGAGAAAGGCTTTCACATTCTATGCTTGTTTTTATGAAGTGGGTGGACACAATAAAATTCATTGTTATATATTATCATTTCTCCAAAGAAAAAGAGAACAAGGTAATGAGACAGAAAGTTAATGAGGCTAGGATCTGGTTAATGGTACTCTGATAGAGTCCTCAAAATCTAGGTAGAAATAGAGGGAGCATAGTTCAGAAAAACAATCTTGGCTCTGAGAATCCCTTACTGAGGTGTATTGTAGCAGAAATATGAATGAAACGAGGAAGTAAATTTTGTAACTCCATGGAGAGAAAAATATTTTAAGCAGAAGAAAGAAGACCAAAGATTCTGAGGTAGGATCCTGCTTTGCTAGAAAAAATGAACTGGGTAAGGAGAGGTAGGAGATTCCAGGTCTCTATTCATCTTCTCCTTGTTCTTATGCTGTTTCAATAAGGAGATTTCTCAAAGCATTTAGAAGAAAGTGTCATATATGATAAACACCATGAGTGGCAATAGTAATGTCCTATGGCAGTTTTATCTGAATGTATATCATCTGTTTTCTGAAACAACTTGGAAGACTACAAATTATTTACAAACAAAAAAACACAAATTCTTGCTGAGTGCTGTGGCACATGCTTATAATCCCAGCAGCTTGAGAGGCTGAAACAAGAGGACTGCAGGGTCAAAGCCAGCCTCAGGAACTTAGTGAGGCCCTGAGAAACTCAGTGAGACCCAGTCTCTAAATAAAATACAAAACAGGGCTAGGGATGTGGCTCAATGGTAAGTACCCCTGAGTTCAATCCCTGGTGCAATGGGAAAAAAAGTTCAAATTATTTAACCTAATGACAATCAAATTTAGGCTCAATTCTATTTTCAAACTAAAAATTTGAAATTTTTAGACAGCCAAAGTGGACAACCACTTATCTGTCAAAGATGTCTAAATTTCTAGATGCCTGTTGCTTCATGAAAACCCCAATTCATTTTAACTTTACTTCCTTCTATTTTGGCCTTCCTTTGAGATTCATCACTTCCAGGGGACTATTTTCAAACCCTCTGTGTAACTTTCTAAGGAGTTTTTTGAAAGCGTATTCACCTAATCACTCCTGAACCTACCATGGGGTGCCATGAAACTCCCTTTCTCATGCAATTTCTCCAAAGCAAGTTTCTCTTCTAGAATTCTCAGATCTGCATGGTGCTAAGGGCTCATCATTATGCAGCTGTTGAAGGCTTAAAACTAGAATTTATAAGGTAGAGGTAGCCTACAAGGGAGATGGTCCTATCATATATAGTTGCAGTGGATTTAAAACTCTCAAAATATTTTCTTAAAAAATAACGTCAAGGGGCTGGCGTTGTGGTTCAGTGGTAGAACGCTCACCTAGCATGTGAGAGGCACTGTGCTCAATCCTCAGCACCACATAAAAATAAATAAATAAAATAAAGGTATTGTGTCCAACTACAACTAAAAGATATTTTTAAAATAATTTAAAAAAAGTAACATCAATATCTTCCCTATGAGACCCAATCTCTTGAGCTTCTATTTCCTTGGGGAGTTGGCTGCCATTGAGTCAGGTGTCTTTGGAAAATCTCTCATGTGTGCTTTGCAGCATTAGTTAATGAACTGTTCTTAAAGGTGCTACCGTAAGGCTTAGTTTTGAAGATATTGTTTTCCTGTACTATCTTCCTGTACATCTGAAGAAGTACAGAAGACGGACAAGTATGCATTTCAGGGTAATTCATTTTCTGAGCCGAAATAATGTTCATTTTGTAATTCAGCTTGACAAAAGCGGGATTTGCTTCCTCAAAGAGGCAGATGAACTTGGTTTCTAAGTTGCATCCGAGAACTCAGGAGTGCAAAAATATATTGAGAAAAATGGAAAACATCATTACTAAGCTCATCAGAAGAACAATTCTGAATTTAGTCTGCCTTCTTTGGTGTTTTGGGTTATGGATTTAACAATCTGCATTTTGGTTGAATTTGGGGTCTGGCATAAAAATAGAGATTTATGATGGAAGATTTTGGGGCTCATAGAAGGTGAGACTGAAGAGGACTTGGCATCTCCAGGTCCTATTCTTCACTATGCACAGCGTACATAAGGCAAACAGGAAAGCACCCTCTGAACATGCTTCCTTCATTCTGCTTCTGCTCATGAACCAAGTCACATGATCATGTGACCTTATGGTTTTTGTCTATTGAAATCTTTGACTTACCTAAAGTTGGGGAAAAAATAGCTTAATAGTCCCCCCCCAATTTCATATCAATTTTGTATATAGCTCATTACCTGTTTTTTTACAGAAAAATATTAGTTGTATGTAAAAATGTGTAGAGGAAGAATACAAGTTCAGTGTATTAGACAAAGGGGAATGACAAGGAGGGGGAGGGATAGAAATCAGAGAAACAGGGGAATGAATTGGATATAACTTTCCTGTGTACCTATATGAATACACCACAGTGAGTCTCACCATCATGTACCTCCACAAGACTGGGATCCTAATTAGAATATCGATAAATTTCATGCTTGTGTAAATATATCAAAATAGATTCTACTGTGATATATAACTAAAAAGAACAAATGAAAACACCCCAAGCTGTGTATATTCTAATATCAACTATGTATTCTTTTCCCATGGATTAAGTTCATTGTGTCACTTAAAATATTTTCTTTCCATTCTCTTTTAAAATAAATACTAAAAATATGGAGGACTTGATATTATTTTCTATATATAGGATACATGAGAACATGACATGTTGAAACATTTTACTCCTCAGATGTAGCTTTTCTGATTAATCTTAAATTATATCTCCCCAGGATTTTTCTTATCCAACCTCCGTTGTTGCTTCTGATACTACAAGAAATCAGTAATTTTTCTTTTCATTAATGTTCATTTAGCCAGCAGGATACAGTAGCACACAGGAACAGTCCCTGCTATTTGAGAGGCCAGCCAGGACAATTTAATGACAACTTGTCTCAGGATAAGAAAATGAAAAGGGTTTGATATGTAAATCAGTGGACTGAGTTCACTCCCCAGTACAGTAAAAAAATCTATCTATATCTGTATCTGCATCTGTGTTTATATTTATACCTATAATTATACCTATATCTGTATATCCAACTATCTATATATTTAGATGACACAATCTTTTAAAATTTTTTTACCTGGGGGGCGGGGGATTTGTTACATTATTTTCAATAGTGTCCCATATCAAATCTCATGAATATCTTCTGTGGTTTCATATCTTAGAGAGCAAAAATATAGAGCAAAAATACCTATATATACTTAATCTGGAATTAGTGTAGATACCAGCTTAATTCATAGATTTTATGACTTTTCACTGAAAATTTCAAGGCCCCACATATATGCCACCCTTCCTCAACTTTCCTGTCGTCACAGTGTCTTCCCTTACCCCTCTTCTCCCTGATCTTTCATTCCTTTTTCTTTGTTTAAAATTTTTAGTTTGAAGTCATTTGAATATTCACAAGATGCACAAAGACAGCACCCAGAGATGGTCAGTATCTATGTCCATTTTCACCAATGACTACATCTCTAGCAATTGTAGTGCATATTTAAAACCTGGAAAATAATGCCCATCTGATATGTGTGTATATAGGTCCACACCATTTTTATCACATGCACAGGTTTATTTAAACATAACCACAGTCAGGACATGCTATGTCACCACCACAAATACCTCCTTTGAGATTCACTTAAGGTGTTGCTACACCTTAGTCGTCACTGAGCAATATCCAGTGTAACCATTCAACAGTTACAGGATGGTAGGGTTATTGCAAGTTTTTTGATAATATAAGTGAAGCAGCTGTAAAAAGTTCTGTACAGTTATTATGTGCATATAAGTCTTTATTTCTCTCAGATAAATGCCCAGGTAAGCCCTTCTTTCTTCAAATATTTATTTGTCTCTCCCAAGTACCTGGCAGCAATGATTGGGTGACAACACCCCCCAGTACTTAAGGACCTATTGATCCCTTCTTTGATGGATTTCAATATTCAGTGGAGAGTAACTGAATTAAGTGATTTCTGAGTTTTACACTGAATTAATGAGTATTGTGACATGAGGGGATGAGGTATATTACAATGTGTGTCCCAAAAGAGAGACTGTGAGCTGTTTGATCCTGTCCTAAAGCTCTGTTCCCTTGTTTCAGCCTTCTCTCCTGTCCTTGAGACATCTATAGTTATCTTCTGTATAATTTGGCTGTTTCTATAGAATCTAAAAGAGCTGAAAGGAGGTTACATTATTCATACCAATATATAGTGAATCTGGAGTGAGTGTAGATACCAGCTTGGATTCATAGATTTTGTGGAATGTCCTTTTCTCTGAAATGGGTGTTTTGAGATAATTAACATGGAAAAGTGAGAGGACCTCCATTAGAGAGCCTCCACATTTCACTTCTAGCTGCAAAATGCCTGGGCATGATCACCCTCATTTGGATGGATTCTTGACTCCAAACCCCCATGTCCTTTGTGGATGCCTGGACAAATATCATCTTTTTTTTAAAAAAAATAACTTTTTTATTCTATCTATTTATTTTTTTACGTGGTACTGATAATCGAACCCAGTGCCTCACACATGCTAGGCATGTGCTCTACCACTGAACGACACCCCAGCCCCCCAAATCATCTTTTGACTATAGAGGACACTGAAGTACCCAGGGAGGTTCAGTAAATACTCAGACAAAGAGATGGTTAGCAGAGACTTAGCAGGTCCTCCGCGGTAGAACGCAGATGGTTGCCTGTCAGCCTATGCTGTGTAAATTTATAAAGAAAAAACAAAAAACAAGTAAAATTCAGGTGCAAAGCTAAAAAGTCTTTAATTAGAATGGATTATATAAAAATGTCTTATTTTTTCTCAGCAGATTAAATAAAAAATGGACTCTGGGAATCAAACTTTGGTGACTGAATTTTTTTTCATGGGCTTAACCGATTCACTTGAGTACCAGGTGCTCCTCTTCCTGACCTTCCTCCTGGTGTATCTTGTTACTCTCCTTGGAAACCTGGGCATGATCACCCTCATTTGGATGGATTCTCGACTCCAAACCCCCATGTACTTTTTTCTCAGCCATTTGTCCTTTGTGGATGCCTGCTCCTCTTCCATCACTGGTCCCAAGATGTTGACTGACATCTTTGTGGAGAAAAAAGTGATCTCTTTCTTGGGTTGTGCTGCCCAGTTTTGGTTATTCATTCAGTTCGTAGTGACAGAATGTTTCCTTCTGGCTGCCATGGCATATGACCGGCACATAGCCATCTGTAAGCCCTTGCTGTATACACTCATCATGTCCCAGGGTGTCTGTGTGCAGCTGGTGGCAGGGCCTTATGCCATGGGATTTGTAAGTGCCATGACCCACACAACCTTGGCCTTTTGCCTACCGTACTGTGGTCCAAATATCATCAACCACTTCTACTGTGACCTTCTTCCTGTCATCTCTTTGGCATGTGCGGATACCCAGGTCAATAGAATTTTGCTCTTTGCCGTGGCTGGAGCCCTTGGAGTCCTCAGTGGTGTGATCATCTTGGTGTCCTACATTCACATTGGGGTCGCCATCTTGAGGATCCGCTCTGCTGATGGCAGGCGCAAAGCCTTCTCCACCTGCTCTTCCCACCTGACGGCCGTCTCCATCCTTTATGGGACTCTTTTCTTCATCTATGTTCGTCCAGGCTCTAGTTTCTCTCTGGATATCAATAAAGTGATTTCCGTGTTTTACACTGCAGTGATTCCCATGCTGAACCCACTAATCTACAGCCTGAGAAACAAGGAGGTCAAAGATTCATTCAGAAGAGTGTTGGAGAGGAGGAAGCTTCTTATTGGCACATAGAGTAGGGTTCCGATTGTACCACAGGGAAGATGTGACATGGGATGGAGCCCAAACCACTGGACTGGGTGACAGGAGTCCAGATTTTAAGATGACATTCCCTCTTTATTGTTGTCTTATTGCTAGGTCTTATAAAATCTTTGGTCAAATTTTATTGTTTCAGTGTTTTCATCAGCAAGAATGAGATTTTGAAATTCAGACTGAGATGGGGGAGATTGTATAATCATCAAATTCAGAAAATAATGCCTACATTTATGACTAGGAAATCAATATTCTTTATTAAAACCTGAATAAATGTAAAAATCATAACCTATGAGATTAACAGTACTTCAGTGCTGGTACTCAGAACCAAGTCCTGCAAGCTGGATCTTTTGTGTGTGTGTGTGTGTGTGTGTGTGTGTGTTTAAATTTATTTTTAAACTTTTTAAAATTTTATTTTTCTTGAGTCCTTTAAAATATAAATGGTTACATATGGTATTGTTCTGCTATAATGGAACCCTGACACTTTGTAAAACTATCTGTATGTTTGGAGTAAATGTTTTTTGAAAACCTTTTACTTCATATGCACTGCAGTGATAGTAACACCTTGTCAGGATTCTGCCACCCAAGTTCATGATTTATGTACATAAAATACAGCCTGAAGTGCATTTTTAAAAAAAAATCATAAAGTAGGTATTACTATCGTTACTGGTTTTTGTGTTTCTGGTAGAGCATTAATTAACATTTTATAGATGACAAATCTGATAGCCATGAAGGATCAATTTATTTCCTATGACCTTAATAATTGATTTCATGTTTTTCCCCTCCCAGTATAATATTTTTTCAACCCTACTTCTGTGTTCCTTTACTGGAATATAGCAACTGGTGCAAGAAATGAGGGGAATGTGTGATTGACACAGATGGATGACTCATCAAGAGCCCCACTTTGCCTTTCCTTTGAAGACCTTCATTGAGAGAAATTTAATTTTATTCTATAGAACTTGAAGGTTGCAAGAAGCCTTAATAACCTAGAATTTCTTTCTTTCTTTTTGTTTTTTACTTTGTTTATTGATCATGCTTTCTGCATCCAATGCTCGCTGTCTTTACAAATGATTTGGGGAAATATTTGGGATAGATGATATTCATGTAAGGTGAAATGAGATTCAATGAACTCTGCAATTGTGAATTAGTGTAATATTATTTTGTGTTTCCACTATGTGCCAGTCATTATTATGCCTATTGAGTGGGAGTAGAAGTATTCATATAATTTAGAAATTAGAAGAGTTGGAAAAACAAGCGATTAAAAAACAACAAAATAAATTTGATTATAAAGATTTCTGTGTCAAAATATCAAAGAATGAAGATAGAATGTAAGATTTTATACTTTAGAAAGAGTAGTGACAGAAATGTCTTTAAAAAGGGTAGGGATTGAGAATGATGAAGACCATCTGTTTTTCTGGGTGGCTTTCCATGAAGTCTGCTATCATTGTTTGGATAAGAGAAGGACAAAAGGACCCTACACAAAATGCTGACAGAGAAGTTGTGTTTCCCAGAAGAGGAATTGAAATTTGCTAAATCACTGTTTCTTCTAATTTTCAGGATATTTTCCTTTCTGCTGTATATTATGGGTGTTTTTGGAATGGAGAGGGTTGAAATAAGGGAAAGATTACTTAATGGTGTGTTGGGAGATGCGATTTACTGTGAACTATATGAGTACTGAAAAACATTATCATGTTTGTGGCTTATTAAAAATCTTGTTACCATTTCAACAGGTGATTCTTGGTTGCCTAAGATAAAAAGTTATTCCATTGCACTTTTTCTATTTTCTCTCTATACCCGGAATGGAACCCAGGGATGCTTAACCACCAAGCCACACCCCCAGGCCTATTTATTTTTAATTTTGATACAGGGTCTCTCTAAGTTGCTTAAGGCCTTGCTAAGTTGCTAAGGTGGGCCTCAAACTTGCAATCCTCCTGTTTATCCTGGCACACAGTCTTAGGCTGTTGAATTTCAAAGGGAGTGATGGCTCTGATTGCTTGGGATCCGGAAAAGCTTGTTGGATAAGGTTATAATTAGCACATCTTTTATAGAACATATGGAATTTTTATCTCCAGTATTTCTGTATGTAAGAATGGACTGTAAGAATAGGTTAAGGAAAACGGGCCATAGGTGATCACATGGGGATGACACATTGACAGACCATGACGAAACATCAACACCCATATCATGGAAGCAGAAGCAGTCAAATCATATGCTAAAGGATTAAAGAAAGAATAACAAATGAGTCCAGGCCTACAGTTTCCTAAGACACTGAGATGATTGAAAAGTTTACATGGAAATATAAATGACCAAAATATCCAGATTGGTCTTGAGGAATAAAATCAAGGTGGATACAGACTTATGAATATGTAGTAGTCAAGAAAGGATCAAGAATAGACTAAGGACCCTGTTAGCATTGCAGAGAGTACAGATGCATTATCTTTATAATTAGAGTACACACAGATGCTATGCATAAACACTTTATTTATGGCAAGGTAACAGGGAATGAAGAGATTTTTAAAACATGGTATTAGACCCATTGGATGTTTGCAGGAAATGAATGGAGTTTACCCCTGTCTTTCAGCACACACCAAGAGCACACTAGGTGGGGTGGAGTGGAGGTCAAGATGTGAACAGCAGGGACATGAACAATGTAGAAGACACTATCAGAGAGTGTATTTAGGATCTGTGGTGGTGCCTAGAGGTAGGGAAATGTATTTTTTTAAACAGAATACAAAAACACTAAACTTGAAGGAAAATATTGATATGATATCCTGAACCATGTTAAATTTAATTTTGATACATCGAGAGTCACCATTCAGATCATGAACACATAAGCCACATAGTGGGAAATATATTTATAATACACATAGCTAGCTTATTTAGGATATATAAATTTTACTGTGATTTTAAAAAAGACAGGCATCCTATTGAAAAAGTATACCAGGTTAGGCACTCTAATATTACAAAGTTGTTAACTTCACTAGAAATCAGGGAAATTACAACTAAACAGGCAATGAGATACTATTATATCCTCATCGAGTAGCTATAATTATTATTATTGACTCTCATACACTACTTAGGGGTTTGACACTATTTGCTTAGAAAACTTGGATTATCATGCAATTTTAATTGAGATGTATCTTATCAACCAAGATCACCTTAAGGTGACTCTCAGCTTGACTAAACTTTAGGCAAGCTACTTCTTCTTCTTTTTTTTAAAGAGAGAGAGAGAGAGAGAGAGAGAGAGAGAGAGAGAGAGAGAGAGAATTTTTTTAATATTTATTTTTTAGTTTTTGGCAGACACAACATTGTATGTGGTGCTGAGGATCAAACCTGGGCCGCAGGCTTGCCACATCCCCAGCCCGGCAAGCTACTTCTTGACTAGAGATCTTTGACCTCCCTTTCCTTGGAATATTTACTTTAGAAAACTAGAAATTGTCCATTCTTTCTTGGTCTCTTTGAGGCGTGAATCTTTTCCTGTCCTCCTCTCAGTTATATAATGCAGAAGTATCCTTCTCAAGAACTTTGGAGTTGTCTCTTGAATATGTAATCAATCATTAAGAAAGTGTGCCCTGTCCTCCAGTGTCTGTGAGAAAATAGGAGCCTAATTTTGGGTTTTGGCAATTAGTAAATGGATGATCTAATCAAGTTGACCGACCTCCTTCTTAATACACCAGTGTACTCATTAGCTGTCTCCAGTGTTTAAAAACTCTTCTACATTTTATTCCAGAAAAGCTGTGTTCAATGTCATTTTTCTATTGCAGTGGTTTTGAATAAAATATTTCCTGTTTTTTTTTAAACTCTCTCTGGTATAATTTCATCCTGACAGTTCAATTGCAATTTGATCCCTGGTATATTTCCAAGAATATAGCAGTAAACTAATAAATCACTTGTGCAATATTTGTATCATGGAATACTAGCAGTACTATAAAATATATGAACAACAGAGAATGGATAAGTGGTGAGTGTCCATTCTGATGTGAGTGATGGTTATATGGGTATTTTTATTTGATAATAATTCACTGAGCACTGAACTTAAGAATTATGGTCTTTCAAGTGTTGTTTGTTGGTAAAGTTTTAAAATGCAGCATCAATGTTGTATTTCTTGGTTCAACCTCTCTTGTTAGGATGGGCTCAGAAAATATCTACATGACAAAACTTATTCACATGTTCCAAAGCAGTGTTTTCCCTGTCTGCCCTAGAAAATGTGAGGAACTATCACATTGGCACTGGGAAGTAAATCAAGTATGAGTGGCTAAACTCAAGCAGTCTTTCAAAAAATAAATGACATTTTACCCAACTCTTAAAAAGGCAGAAAGATATTTTGTCAATCATGGGTGTGTCTGAAGATTCAGGATCAGAATCAATCAGAAAACTCAGATTTAGTCGTCTGCTCTCCAGACGCTTACTTTGAGACATGAGAATATGTTTTCTGGTGATGAGCAGGGGGAACATTGTACACATTATTGTTTTATGTAAGGCTTCCTCCCCAAGTAAGATAATGCTACTTGGAAACAGATCTAGCATCAGCATTGCCCTGTGGGGTTCTTATTTCCTCTTACCTATCATATCCTTCCTACTCAAAGTATAGGCTTGGCATCCTCTGGGAACTTATTAGCCCATGCAGACTTACTCTTCACCAATTGAATCAGAACTTATATTTTAACAAGATACCAGACAATATGTAGATATGTTCAAGTCTAAGAAGAAATCTTGCACATAGCCCCAAGTTCAGAGGTTCATGTTATGAAGATTTAGTGTGAAAGATAAGATTTTATCTAATCTGTATAAAATTCTACTAAATGAATACTCTATGGGTTTATCTATTGTAGATCCTCATTCAAGAATGAAGAAAGGAAAAAAAACCTATATACACTTGTGAGATAATACTTTACAATAAATGGCAAAGAAGTATATTAGATTTGGAAGAAAAACAAATGTTAAGTTATTAAACAATATGGAGGTCGGACACAATGGCACAT